TCTGCGCTGAACCCCTGGCGCTCGCGCGCCGGGAGCGGCGCCTCCAGCGCCAAGGGAGGCCCCAGCGCCGATGCAGGAATTCCACGCGGAGCTTCGAAAGTTTATGGTTATGCCACTGTCTCTCCTTCGAGAGGTGCAGATAGCCGAGGGCAGCTGCCAGCGCAGGCGCCACGGCTGGGGCGCGCGCGCGGTGAGGTGGGCGCCAACCTGGGGCGGCGAGGTCTCTCACAACTGAAGGGGCCCTGGGACACACAAATAAATACACACAAATAACAAGATTCCCCATATTTTCCTATATTTTCTGGGTGTTTGTCTTCCCCCCCCAATTCCCATTTTTTCTCATATTTTCCTGGGAGTCGACGATGAATTGTGTCTGTGTGTTTTTTCCCCTCCTGAACAACCACTGCCCCTGGCCTCGCCCATCCCTGGCCCGAGAGCGGTGCATACGCCCTCCTGGCTCGGCCAGGGATTCACATCGCTGCGCCAATACAGTGGGTCCTGAAACACAATAGAAGACAGATCTGCCTCGATCTCGGGATCTCGGACCCGCCGGCGGATCTGCGCCCGGAGCGACCCTGGAGGGCCCCAAGACGGCCTCAGAGTGCCCCAAGAGGGGCCCCACGACGGGCCAAGAGGGCTCCACAAGGCTTTCAGACGGTCTGAGAAGGCCTTGAGTCGCCGAGCGATCGGTCCAAGACGCTCCAGATGGCCTCCAGACGGCCCAAGAGGCCTCGAAGACGCCCAATCATGTCGGGAAACATGCAGTTTCAGCACATGAGACCTTTCGACCTTCAAGGCGTCTAAGACGGCCCAAGAGACATCCCAGATCATCCCCAGACGGTCCGAGATGCCCCCAGGAGGGCCCAGAGACGCCTCAGGAGAGACCCCAGACGGCCCAAGAAGCGCCCAAGACAGCCCAAGAGGGCCCGCAGAGGGGTCCAAGAGGAGGAACTCGAACTGTGATGTCGAGCCCACCGCCCGAAAGGGGCCCCCCCACAAGACCACTAGCAGGCTGCCAAGAAAACCCGAGAGGCCCCCAAGAGGCCCAAAAGACGCCGATCTCACCTCGGAACTCAAAACGACCGCGCGCCATAGCCGTCCCAACCCGGTCAAACACCGAACCGAGGAACCAATCAGCATGGCAACGGTCAGAAAAAAAAACAATATACATTGCCCGGGGAGACGTAAGACTCGGGCTCGGGGGACACAGGTTGGCCTGACGGGGTCATCATGAAAATGACGAAACCCGATCTGAAATTTGACGCGAGCTCCCGCTGCAAACACCCCACGGAAACTGGACCATCAAAATCCAGCACGCGCCCGTCAAAAAGCATCGGCAACGTGCCTCTGGGCACGGAGTAGGCGTGTCCCCACACTACCCCTCAAGGCCCTAGGTCCTCTCACTACCCCTCTAGGCCTCAGTCCTCACTCCTGCAAATCTTCAAAAGGGTTCGTAGCCCCTCAGCCCAAATCTCTTGGGGCTCGTCGCGGTTCTCCTGGGCTCCCCCCGAGTGTTGTCACATGAATCAATTCGGGCCCAGGAAGGCCACGAGACGGGCCAAGACGGCCCCAAGAAGCGCCCAAGAAAGACGGTCCAAGAGGGCCTTGAATCGCCGAACGATCGCTTCAAGACGCTCGAGATGGCCCTCAGACGGCCCAAGAGGCCCCCAAGACACTCAAAGAGGCCGCCTCCAAAGAGGGACCCCCGAGGCCAGAATCATTGAGTTTTCCGTGGCGTTCTCGCCTTTTCAGCCCCCCGACGCTCCCAGCTCCCAGACAGCCATGGAGGCACCCGAGACCGACCCAAGACGGCCCAAGGGGCCTCCAAGAGGACCCCAAAACGGCCCAAGGAGGCCCCAAGACAGCCTAAGGGCCGCCCAAACCACAAGGGGCCCAACCGAGAGAACACGAACCGAAAGTCCGAGCCTTCCGCTCCAGGAGGCCCCCAGGAGGCCCCAAAAGGCGCCCAAGAGGCGCCAAAAAGGCCCCCTAGAGGCCCGCAACACGACCCAGGAGGCCCCCAAGAGGCCCAAAAGACGCCCCAAGAGGCCCCCAAGAGGCGTCCAAACTGCCTCCAAGAGGCCCCCGAGAAGCCGCCCACGAGATCCCAGCGAACATCTAATATGCTTCATACCCACAACCCAGGCACGGTGGCGGGATGGGCCGAAGGCCATGAAAACCGCCGCCCCCTGTCGATTCATCGCAGGGGTGCCTGGCGTGCTGGATCCTCTCGGTTTTGGTTTTGGTTCTTTTTCCAAAAGAACTCCCCCTGGCGCTTCGGCCCGTCCCGCCGGGGTCCCGGGAGGCGCTTCCAGAACCGCAAAGTCCCGAACAAATCCTCCATGACGGCTCAAGATGGCGTCCAAGATGGCCAAGATGGCCTGCCAGTCCGACAAAGATGATCCAAGATAGCCTCCAAGTCCGCCCAAGATGGTCCAAGACGGCCTCCAAGACGGCCCAAGAGAGTCCAAGACGGCCCAAGACGGCCCAAGCAAGAGGCCCCCCAGAGGCCTCCAAGACGGCCCAAGAGACCTCCAAGAGGTCCTCTAGGAGGGCCCGAAGAGTCAAAAATTCCCGTTGGTTTTTGAAGGATTTTGGAATTTGCTTCTTCTCGGCATTCCGACGGCTCAAGACGGACCAAGAGGCCCCCAAGATCGCCCAAGAGGCCCCCAAGAGGGCCCCATGACGGCCCAAGTGGCCTCCAAGACGGCCCCAAGCGGGCCCCAAGACGGCCCAAGAGGCCTCCAACACGCCCAAGATGGCCTCCAAGACGGCCCCGAAGCGCCCCAAGAGGGCCCAAAGTCGGCCCAAAAAGGCCCCCAAGACGGCTCCCGACGGTGTCAGACGTTTCAGGAACCCACCAAGATGGCCGAAGTTGGCTCGAAGCTGGCCCAAGACAGCCCAAGAGGCCCCCAAGAGGGCCTCCAGGAAGGCCAGAAGAGGCCAAAAACATTGATGTTCGTAAGGTTTTTGACGGATTTTGACATTTGCTTCTTTTCGGCCTTCCGACGGCCCTAGACGGCCCAAGAGCCCCCAAAGATCGCCGAAAGATCGCCGAAGAGGCCTCCAAGATGGCCCCAGGACGGCCCAAGAAGGCCCCAAGACGGCCCCAAGAGGCCCCAAGATGGCACAGGAGGCCTTTAAGACGCCCAAGATGGCCTCCAAGACGGCCCTGGAGTATTCCAAGAGGGCCACAAGTCGGCTCAGAGAGGCCCCCCAAACGGCTTCCGACGGCGTCAGACGGACCAGGAGCCCACCAAGACGGCCGAACATGGCCCTAAGATGGCCCAGGACCGGCCAAGAGGCCTCTAAGAGGGCCCCCAGGAAGGCCCGAAAATGCCAAAATCATAGATGCCCCATGGTTTTTGAAGGATTGTGGCATTTGCGTGTTTTCTGCCTTCCGACGGCCCGAGACGACCCAACTGCCCCCAAAGATCGCCCAAGAGGCCCAAGACACGCCCCCAAGAGGCCCCCAAGACGGCCCAAGATGGCCTCCAAGACGGCCCAAGAGCCCTCCAAGACGTCCTCCAACAAGGCCCAAAAGGGTCAAAATGGCCTCCAGACGGCCAAGATGACCTTCAAGATGCCCACGTGTTCCCCGAAGGCTTTCCAAACCGATTCGGGGAACACATGGTCCGATAGCTTGGCAGGTCTGGCTTCACCTTCGGCCACATAGGCGCTTCCAAAAAGGCAGGGGGCGGCGGTGATTCGCCGTAGGCGTCTTCGATCCGCCGCCCCCTGCTGGCTTGCCACAGGGAAGCCTGGCGTGTTAGACCCTTTCGGTTTGGATGTTGGTTTCCCCCCAAAAAAAACTCCCCCTGGGGCTTCGGCCCGTCTCGCCGGCCACCCGGAAGGGCGCGCAACAGCTGGTTGCAAAGGGTTGCTCGGTTCCAGACGGCTCCAAAATGGCCTCCGAAATGGCCAAGATGGCCCAAAATGGCCTACAAGTTCGCCCAAAATGGTCCAAGATGGCCTCGAAGACGGCCCAAGACAGTCGAGGAAGCCTCCAAGTTCGCACAAGAAACACCCAAGACGGCCCAGACGGCCCGAGAGGCCTCCAAGAGGCCTCCAAGACGGCCCACGAGGCCTCCAAGAGGTCCTCCCGGGTCCTCAAGGAAGGCCCGACGGGGTCCAAATCATTGATTTCCTTTAGGTTTTTGAAGGATTGGGGTTTCTGCTCTTGTTCGGCCTTCCGACGGCCAAAGGCTGCCCAAGAGGCAATCCAGATCGCCCCAAGTGCCTCCAAGAAACCTCCAAGGGGCCCCCAACACGGCCCCAAGAAAACCCCAAGACAGCCCAAGAGGCCCCCAAGAAGCCCCAGATGGCCTCCAACACTGCCAAGATGGCCTCCAAGATGCCTCCAAGACGGCCAAGATGGCCTCCAAGACGGCCAACATGGCCCCAAGATGCACCCATCACGGCCCAAGATGGCCTCGAGATGGCCTACTAAGCCTGTCCAAAAAGCCCGCCAGGGGCCTCCAAGACGGCCCAAAAACCCTCCAAGACGTTCCCCAGGGAGGCCCGACAGGGTTAAAATTATCCCAGTGCGACCCTACCTAGGAGTTGGAACCCCTAGGAAAGCAGCATTAGTAGTAACAGTAACGCTATGCTAAAGCTAAGCTGAAGCTAAGTTAAAGCTAAGCCACAGCTAAGCCACAGCTAAGCTAAAGCTAAGCTAAAGCTAAGCTAAAGCTAAGCTAAAGCTAAGCCAAAGCTAAGCTAAAGCTAAGCTAAAGCTAAGCTACAGCTAAGCTACAGCTAAGCTACAGCTGAGCTAAAGCTAAGCTAAAGCTAAGCTAAAGCTAAGCTAAAGCTAAGCTAAAGCTAAGCGAAAGCTAAGCTACAACTAAGCTACAGCTAAGCTAAACGCTAAGCGAAAAGCTAAGCGAAACGCTAAGCTAAAGCTACGCTACAGCTAAGCTAAAGCTAAGCTAAAGCTGAGCTCAAGCTACAGCTAAAACTATAGCTAAAGCTAAAGCTAAAGCTGAAGCTCCCAGGGGACTGGGGGGAACCGCCGGGCGGGGACTGGGGGAACCGCCCGGGGCGCTTTCCATTGCCCGGCCCCTTTAAGCTAACAGAGTAAGAACCCTTCTAGGCAGAGCCTAGGTAGGGAATCATTGCCTGCGAGGTCCCATCGTTCACAATTTTTTGAGAGCAGAGATCGCCTCGAGAAACGCGGCACGGGCGAGCTGGCCAGGCAGCACTCC